CCGCCGTGGGACTGGAGCGCTCATCAGGATGCCACAGCCAGCTTCAGCTGCTGTGACCTCAAAGGCAGGAAATGAAGCTGGGAGTCTTCAGGAGGGTTCAAATTTATTAGTTTAACACTGCTGCTGTCTTTTGTTGCTTTTGTTTTGGTTTTTTTTTTTTCCTTCTCCTAACTGTTCCTTTTTGTTACAATTTAGTCTTTGCAGGATTTTCTTATTTCCAGATAGCATGAACTTTTGTTTTAGGATTTTCCTTCTTCCCAACCTGCAGTTCTGTTTTTCTGGCAAAACATACGTGGTTTTACATAAATTCAGATGAAAATGCAGCTATGTAATGCTTGGAAATTAAAGCACTCTGCCTAATGATAGTGTTGTCAGGTCTTCATTAGCACTGAGGGCCCTGTTGTGGTACAAACCCTTTTACAGAACATATGTCAACCAAGTCGCGGTTTTTAATTGCTTATATTTTTATTTATTTATTTATTTATTTTTTTGCAGAAGAAGTAGAATCTATTTGGCAAGGCAAGTAGATTAAAGTCTGCTTTCTTATATGTGGCCCCTTGTATTTCCTTACATGGTCTTTCAATTTCCATACGTGAAAACAGAGATACCTACCCAAATTTTCACATAACGTGCAAAGGGTGTGGAAAAAATGAGTCCTTGAGGGAAACTAGCTGTCATCTGGGCCTTGTGTAAAGTAATCAAAACCCATCTGGATAGAAAATATGCTTCTTTGAAAGTACAGCAGGTCCTTTGGATTGGATTAGTTTGAGGTTTTTCATAGACAAACTTAAAAAAAGAAGTTATGTTCATAAATTGGATACTTTCTGTGTTTGCTAAAATCATTATCTCTGGAATGTGAAAATAGAACAAAAAAGAAAAGTAAGAAGATCTCTATTTAGGATAGCACAGCTGTTAGTTTTCTGAAGAAGAACAGGGTGACACGCTGGAGATAAAAAGAGTAGAGATCAGTTATTTTCTTCAAAGGCCACTATTACATTTTCATAAAAGCATTTCTTCCTTGGTGTGGTTAGTCAGAACATTTATCTGAAAGCCAGGTTGCCTTTGGTCTATCTTCTGTATTTTTGGCATTCTTGGCTGCTAGATGAAATAGCCCTGTGGGTTAAATTGCCCTGTAGCTCTAATTTCTTTAATATAACTCCTCTTGTTTGGTTCAGGCATACTTGGTCTGATTTGCATGGTAAAAACAAGCTCCCAATTCCCAGGCTGGCTCGACAGACACAGGATCTGAGCTACAGTTCCACAAACATCCCCAGCCTGCTTCCTGGGGGTTTGTCCCCCTCTTCCTTACTAGTAACCTTCCTGGTAGTAGTCCTGGATTAACTCTCAGCTGCAGGTCTACATCGATAGAAAAACTTGGGAGCAAAATTTAGCCCAATATAGCACATAAAACCTTTTAATCTGGTGCTTGAAGAATTACAGAAATCAAGCTGTTGGATGACTTGTGGTTCTACTCCATTAACTTTAATGAGCTTCACTTGGCAAATCTGTGCAGCAGCTTTTTAAGACAACACTGTATTCAATATTATGTTTCCTTTAAATATATGCTGATGATACTGATGTTAAATTTTAAAAAAAGAAAGAAAATGAATTTTTTATTGTATCAGCGTTCCCTTCCGCTGGAGAGGAAGGGAGGAATTGTGTTTGCAAATGGTCAGAGGCACATCCTGCGGAGATCTGCACAGCAAAGATGTGCACTGCTTCATTAGTTCATAGCAACAGGTGTGCTGGCTTAGCACCGAATAACTCTCTCATGCTCTCTCCCCTTCAATTATTCCTCTTCCTGGAGCTGGCAGCTGCAGCAGAGATCAGCCTCCTCCCCTGCTGCACTGAGCCTCAGTCATTTGTTATTGCATGTGCCTGAGGGCTGCAGCCTGACCAGAAGCCCAGCGCCTCACCCAGGGCCGAGGGGAGCGGGAAGGGTGTGTGTCCCCCTGTGTGGTTTGAGCTCCTGGCAGCCTTCCATGCTCCAAAGGGCCCAGTCCCTGCTCATGCCTTTGCTCCTGAGTGAGCAGCAGTCAAATTAACTCCTCTGTGCTCCACTAGGAGCAGCTTCCCTGCAAAAAAGCTGGGAGCTGCAGAGAGATCAGGTTCTGGCAGTGACTTGGAGTTGGACTGATTGGAGCACTCTGTCCTACCTGATGTGGCCTTTCGGGGCTTTTCCTCCTCATTGAAGGTTTTGTGTATGCAGGGAGGATGTGGATTAGGGTCAGCACTTAATAGAAATTCTGCAGTGATGTCCTTGAGACTATTTGTGTTGTATCAATACCAGTTGTATTCTTTTTCCCCCTTTGAAGAAGTTGGCATTTAATCACTTGAGGTTGGCGGAGTTGGACAAAAAACATTGGTTTGCATGAAGGACACCTGGGAAAAGGAGACTTGTTTTTATCTCAAGTCCTTCCAAATTTTGCCAGTGGTTCTGCCCAACAGGAGAAAACATGTATATATACCTTGGGAAAATCTGGCACTGCATTAATTTAATTACAGAAAACATACAGAAAATATCCTGTTCTCCTGCTATTTTAAAATGCTGTAAATCATTTGGCTTCCTCTGATGTCATGTGTGTCATTGTTTAATGTGAGGTAGGGGATGGGAAAGGTAGGTGATGTACTTTCTGCACAAATTAACTCCATAAAAGTTAATGGTTTGACCTTCATCCACAGGAAAGGAAGAGATAGGAAAGCTGTGTTGTTTTAATGCTTAGAAAAGTAAGGAAGAACCATAAAGACAGGAAAGGGAAAATACATTTTAACACATGATCTCATTGTTAATTTTTTCACTGGTGATTTATTATCCCACCAAATGTTGACTGTGACAATTAAGTAGTACTTGACCTAGCTGCAAAAGGACTGTTTGATTTAACAGAACAAGCTTAATTCTGAGAAAACCTAATACTCAGAGAGGTTGGCTCTGACATGTTGAAGATGAGGGATTTCTGATGTCCACCTGAATCTGAGTAACTTTTTTTGACAGCCTTTTCCAGTGGCATGTCAGAATGGTTGTGTTGGAGCAAGAAACAGTCTGCACAGCTGGAGGAGATGTAGCTTCTCCTGGGCTGTTTTGCAATTGAGAACTTCCACAGAATGACAGATGGATGTGTTTTGTTTCAGAAAACACCATAATTAGGAACTTTGCCTAGGCCTTGTAAAGTGGACTAGGGTTTTTTGACATCCAAACAAATCTACTTAAGGGTGACGTCTGCCTCAAATATTTGAGATCTCTTGGAATCTCAGCAAAGTTGCTCTAGGAAATTGAGAGATCAGATTAAATACTTGAAACCCGCTTCTGCTTGGGCAGCCTAAATTTCAGTAGTGAGGGCTTGGGGTTTTTTCAGTGTATGCTCAGTGAAGATTTCTGGGATCAGACTGCTCCTGCATTAATGCCACTAGCAGGCCAAAATGGGAGCTTAATTACTCTCTTAGGCATGTGCAAAAAAAAAAAATCTGAGCAAGGGAAACCTACTTCTTTTCTTTTTAGTTAATCTGTGACTTTAGGAATTTTTAGTGAGAGTAAGGGTTTTATTTTGACATTCATTTATATCCCTTTTAAGCATGAACCTAGACCTCAGACCTGGGCTCTGTGTTGAGTGCTTTTCCTGGTTCTCTTGGACTCCAGGACAGTAAAGTAAATACCTTAGTGCTGCTTCTGTAATAGCAAAGTGCTGGAAGAGTAAAGATGCCTCAGTGTCCTGGAAGAACCTGTTTGTCATGTGAAGAAAATGTTGGTTTTATTTTTTTTTTGGCAATTAGTTTGTAATTCAGGCTTTTAATAAAGCAGCTGTCTCCAAAACACCTTTCTTAATCTGAGTGATAGCTATGTCTTTGTAGGCTTGTTGACTACACATGCTCCTGTTCCTCTTCTGTGTCCCCAGGTGTTGAGGCCAGAGCAGGAGTCTCAAGGAAAGGGGGTGGTAGCCTTGGCTTGGTTTTCCTGGGTTTTGTTGGTTTTTTGGCACCCTCTCTTGAAGGCAGACTATCTGAGGGAGTTTTTTTCCAGTCCTGCTCAGACATGGAGTTGGGAAATGCAGGTTCTAAAGGGGGATGATGTGAAGAGGACTTGCTTCTTTATTTCTCTTCACTACATTGCGCATGGACCTCGCTCTCCCTGACCTTGTCTCTCCTCTCCTATCCATCACCCAGACATTTCTGTGGAAAGAAGAGCTTTTAATCCTTCAGTTAGCTTGGACTTTGCTGTGAGGCATTCAAAGATAGAAGCTGAGGAACTGGAAAAAGAATTGATTCTTTTATCTTAGTGTATCTGGTATCATGTTCATATTCCCAGTTTGAAAGAGACCTTTGTTTCACAGCTGAGAAGGCTTCAGAAGTGTGGTGAGACTCGTAGTTTCTGATGTTTCTCTGATCCCATAGTTGGCACATAGTTGCAGCTCAATTGCTGCTCAGTTGGTTTTTTTGAACTACATAATTCTGTTTAAATTGCACAGTTTGTAAACTGACTTGAAGAGTTAATAACTGTTTTAATAGAAACTTGTAAGAACATAGTCTAGGTTAAAAATAAAATTACAGCTGTTGGGACCAGACTGAGTTCAAGGCTTATTAGTATTGTCTTCAGAAAAAAAAAAAGTGTTCTTATTAGCAAGGGTTTGGGTTACAGGCCATTAGGTGATTAGTCAGATGACAAGTGCAGCAGGAGGAACTGCACGTCAGCATTGTCAGGCTCTTCCCAGCACCTCTTCGTGCGAGTGAGACTGAAACACAGAACTGTGGTTTGTTCTTGGCTCCTCTTCCCTGGCCCTCTGTGAAAGCAGGCTCCCATCTGGCAATCCAGGGAGCTGTGCAGTATCCGGATGTGAGGGAAGGAAGGAGCTCTTGCTTGGACATGTGCTCCTGGCTTTGGCCGCCTTGTTTCTGAGGCACCTGTGGATGTGCTGGGGTGGGGGAACAATGTGGGGGTTTTTTCCCTCTGTACACCTTCAGGACCGAGTCTCTAACGCTGTGGCTTTTCTCTCTTTGTCCCTTTGCAGTTCTTCCTCCGGTGCTGGTGCCGAGGCACAGCGAGTACAACCCCCAGCACAGCCTCCTGGCGCAGTTCCGCAACCTGGGGCAGAACGAGCCCCACATGCCGCACAACGCCACCTTCCCGGACTCCTTCCAGCAGCCCAGCAGCCACCCCTTCCCCCACTCGCCCAGCAGCAGCTACCCCAACTCACCTGGGAGCAGCAGCAGCACCTACCCCCATTCTCCAGCCAGCTCAGACCCGGGCAGCCCTTTCCAGATGCCAGGTATGGTCAGCTTCCCTTGAGAAGGGTGTACAGATGCTCCAGATGCCAGGTACGGTCAGCTTCCCTTGAGAAGGGCGCACAGATGTTCCAGATGCCAGGTACGGTCAGCTTCCCTTGGGAAGGGTGTACAGATGTTCCAGATGCGAGGTACGGTCAGCTTCCCTTGAGAAGGGTGTACAGATGTTCCAGATGCCAGGTACGGTCAGCTCCCCTTGAGAAGGGTGTACAGATGTTCCAGCTGCCAGGCACAGTCATGTATGTGTACAGATGTTCCAGATGTCAGGTACAGTCAGCTCNAGTCATGTATGTGTACAGATGTTCCAGATGTCAGGTACAGTCAGCTCCCCTTGAGAAGGGTGTACAGATGTTCCAGCTGCCAGGCACAGTCATGTGTACAGGGTGTTCCAGATGCCAGGTACAGTTTTGTTGCCCTTGAGAAGGGACAAGGTGCTTGGACATCACTGCTGCCGTGGACTTTTTTGCTCAATGACACCAAATGATCAGCCAACACTTGTGTTTAATATCAAACTAACAGATGTAAGGTAATAAAGAGTACAGAATCTCTTATGTCTGGTAATACTGAAGGCTTTAGTGTTGTCTCTCTTTCAAACACACTTAAAACATTAGAGTAGAACTCTTGTGAGGTGAGGAGGGATCCAAAATGTTTTGGGGACCAGTTCAGCAGTTTAACCCACAAAGTGTAGTGTTCAATGCACCAGAAGTGAGAAGTGTGGTTCCTAGAGATCATCATTGCTTATGATCATAAGTTCAGGACAAGGCTTTAGTTCCACAGAAAAGGGATATTTCTCCAGGTGATCACATTATTGCTACTTGATAAACAATTTCTTCTCATAGTGGTGTAATTCCAAGAAGCTTCAACTGAAAAACACGCCCTTAAAATAACTCTTCAGTCTGTTTTACTACCTACAGAGAAGAGCCTTCCTTTGTTGACTGGTGTCTGTAGAAAATTCCATGAAGCTGCCTTTTTTTGTTTTTTTCATGCAGCAGGATAAAAATACTGCAGAAGCAATCTGTGGTGGATTTCTTGATCTAAATGCTGAGAGAAAGATGCAGTACAAATCCTTACTGATGTTGTTTGCCTGTTTCCTTCAGGGGCTGAGGGGAGGGTATGTGTAAACAAAGCAGCAGATTTGTGAAAATCTGTTTCCTATTACATGAAATTAATATCCATAGATTTCTTCTCTTGCTAATTGTTGCAAATTTTTCTCTTGTGAGTGAAAACTACTGAATTTGGTGGAAGGAAGGAATGAGTTTGTATTGGCTTTTCTAAAAAATGTGAGAATTTGCTGTGAAACCAGCTGTCTTTTTTTTCTTTTTATTTAAACATGATTGCTGTGGTTGGGGCGCTTCCAACAGAGATAAAGACCTAACAAGGTCTTCCTGAATGCTGGCTTGTGGAAGTTCACTTGATCTTTGAAGGTCTGTTCTGTCCACATGCCCTTAATGTCTGCAGCTGCAGTGAAGAAATTGAGTTAGAGGGGAGGTCAGGATACTGATGTCCTTGATGCTTAGCTCTGGACAGCTGTCCATCTTGCACTAATGGGGAAAGAGGCTGACATCTGGAAAATACAAAAACAAAGGGGCAAAGCAGTTAGCCTTGAAAACTTTCTAGATACTGCCTAATTTGTTGCCCTTAGCCTTGGAATCTTGTGCATGACCAACATCATGACATGACAACACACACACAAGCATTTAAGGCTTAGTAAAACATGAGACTCAAAATCCTGTGCAGTTTGTTAAGCTTTTAGTGCAACCCTGTTGCCATCTGTGTCTTTCTCTGCTGCTTTCTCATCCACCTGAATGTGTTCAAGAAACAGAATTAGCCAGGCACCTGCCAGCATTAGATCTAAAATACAAAATACCTGCTAAACAATAAATTAGTTGATAAATTTAATGAACACATGTTTTCTTAGAAAATACATTAAAAAGAAATCTGAACAAAGTCACCACTCCACAGAAAAACCCCCAAAGTTACAGAGCATTCTCCTGCCTTTTGTTGATGCTAATTTGGTTTTCAGAGTTTTGGAATCCCCTGTGATTATTTGCTGTGGTAGTTTGCAATCCATACTCTCAGTAATGGAAATAAATGTGGGATGAGCAGCAGCAGAGACATCACAGTGGTAATCTAATCCCAGTTCTTGCAGCAAAAGCTTGCAGGGATCAGGCAAGGGTTTCTACTCTTGGATGTATCTCTGTGCAGTTGATCTGGAGGAGAGTGTCCTCTGGTCTATTGGGAAATGGTGACATTGGCAGCCTCCTTCCTGCAGCTTGTAGGAAATCTTTTGGGAAGCTTTCCCAGGAGTGGAATAGGCAGCTGAAGGGCAGTGCTGGCTGGGACACTTCAAACAGAGCTGACACTCATTAACATATATTAACATGTGCTAATGAGTGTGGGCATTGTGCATGGGCTCCCGTGCTGGTGATGCAGCCCTGAATGGGACGGGACAGAAACACTGACGGAGAAATTCCAGACCCACAAGGCCACTTCTGTAGGATTTGGGTTCTTGAACGCTTTCTGCTATTCCCAGTCTAGGGAAACAGAGCTAATACTTTGCACTGACAGTGATAAGGCCCTGGATATAGCTGGGATGTTTAAATAATTTCCTGGCAGAATTGTGTTGGAGACAGAAAAGCTTCTGTTCACTTTTAACATATTCAGTATCTACTGCTGGCTGGGCCCTGAGACCTCTTTGTGCCCTGATGTTTGTATGGCACTTTCAGGCTGCAGAACCGTGGGTTGGAAACACAGCTGAGCTTTCTTTTGTGGCTTTATGTGGGGGTGAAGTGACTTGTTTTTATTGCAGTTGTGCTTAATATACACAGCAATTCTTTGCTTTCCTTATTCAAGGTCCATGATTGCTTTTTCAGATTTCTGGTGGGTGGAAGTTTATAGCTGAGTCAGGCTGGAAGCATTTCCAGGCTCAGAGTGTTTATGTGGATGTGTAGATGTGCTTTAAAGAGAGGAAAGCACTCATGTATCTGCCTTTTCTATATTTAGCTGATACTCCCCCGCCCACTTACCTGCCTCCGGAAGATCCGATGACACACGATACCTCGCAGCCCATGGATACCAACATGATGGCACCTGCAATTCCCCCTGACGTGCACAGAGGAGGTAAGAACACCTCCTTCATGTTTCACTTCTTAAGAGTAAAGAACCTCCAGAACTTAGGAGTAATAACTGAGCTTTAATTTTGGATGGATGCTGTTCATGAAAATTTTTGTCTGCGGAAAAGAAAAATACCGGCCGTGTAATTTTTCTTCTGTTGTTGTAAGGGCTTAAATAGTAAAGCTGGAGATTGTTTATAAATGTAAATATTTATTTAAGAGAGGAATCTATCCCATGACTCTTTAAAAATGTAAAATATATGGGGTTTATTACTTTCTTTCTCCCAGCCAACTGAAAGACCAAAGTAATTTTATGTTTTCTATTGGGAACTTCCACTAATCTCTGAATGGAAAGAACTCCTCTGAGGCTGCAGAATACTGAGTAATCTGCCTGAGGTGTGGCATTTAGAGACTTTAAAAGTCTGTATGAAATAAAGGCCTATTGCTTTATGTGCTGTGACACAGACATCTTTTTACACATTGCTTGTTAAAACCACAGCAGCAGCCATGGCTGCTGAGCAAAGGGTTCTGTGCATTCATCATCACCTTGTGAGAAATGATTCTTCAGAGAACACTTCAGCTTGCACACTTGTGGCCCATGCCAAGAAAAAGCAGCAGGCTGGATGCTGTGCCAGAACGATTATCAAGATCACAAGCTATGAACAATTGAACTGTTGTGTGTTTTGGATTTTTTGGTGTTGGTGGGGTTTTTTGGGTTTTGAGGTTGGGTTTTTTTGGGTTTTTTTTGGTACTTGTTTTGTTGCTAAGCTCAATGTCTTGTTTCAGGAAGTGTATCTGCCCTCTTAGCACCATTTGGATGGCTTTTGTGTTAGCCTATTTACTGTCTGCTTGGAATGAATTTTATGTGTGATAAACTCAGTCTGTAGCACTTCCATTTTTTGCTGCTCACACAGACTACACTTTGAGGGTATGAGTAGTTTGCAGGAATTTTGGGCCAGAAATTTACTGCTCCGAAATATATTTATCAAACTTCATGCCTAACTGCAGACCTCTGCAGCTGTGTGTCCCTCTTCCAAAATGCGTATTACAGAATTCTTCTAATACATGAGACATGATAAAGAAAAAAGAATTTACATTTTTCTTCTTGCTCTTTATCATTCAGCCATTTCAAAATAAAAATTGTCTAATGATATGTTTCCTTTCTAGTAGTTTAGTACAATTAATTTTCCTCTCTGTCCCCTCATTAAAAAGAAAAACTTTCAGATGCCTTCACATGTTTATTATTCACATATGTATGCTGTGATAGCAGGACTTCTAAAAAAATCTGCTGCAGGTTGTAGAAGAAAAGTTTTTACTGTGAACTTACTGCATCATTTTTTGTTGCAAACTTTGTAGAAGTGTGTTCTTCATGGTGATTTGTTAGTCTTAAGAGATTTGATTGAACAAGCTGCATCCTGTCAATGGAGTTGGGTAATTTCCATTGTTGGCCCATGCTGGGAATAGAGAGACTAAACGCACCTGCTCTGCATGACTTAAAGCAAATGTGAGGAAGTCAGTATGAAATCTGTGTGAGAGAGATATGATTAATTCTGTAAGAATGGCCAGCTGGCAAGATTTCTTCCTGACTTTGAGAACTGGGGCAAAGCTGCAGCTTTGATAATTGCTGGCATCTTTATGGGAATTAAAAATGTAGCAACCTCTTGCTAATAATTATAGACTGTTTTTTCTTCCTTTTTTTTTCCCCGTTTTCAACAGTGATGTGAAGGGATGGAAAGTGCCAGATTATCAGGAAAGATCAGCTTTTTACCAGTGTTTTTAAGCAAGTTATTAGCAATCAACGCTATGTTCAGAAGTTTTTCCACAGTGATATAGGATGTGTTATCCTGCTCTTGATTATTTGCCACCTTTTGTATCTACTCTGTACTGCTGGTTTGAGGGGGACTTTTGTTTTTTTGTTTCTGTAACAGAAACTCATAGTGGTGTGATTTGTGAACAGAGGAAAATATGAACACTAATCTTAGCTGATTGATATCAGTAAAATCTTGGAGCTGGGAGAAGGAAACCTCTGGCCAGAAAAAACAAGTTTTCCCATATTGCCAGTCTGATTTTCATTTTAGCACTTTGCCCTGTAGTGGGATCTGCACAATTGGTGTTTCAGCAGCAAGTCCAACTTTTCTAGTCTTAGTAGTGAAATAGTGTCCTTCATTTAAAAGAAGGCACACATAAAGCAACCACAACCCCTCAGCAGCCTCTTTTTATTTGGGGCTGTGCTTCATGCATGTTCTGCAGACAAATATCAATCTCTCTTGGGTTTCTTGAAGTCTCCTACCATTCTCCCAAAAAAACCCAGGAGAAAGACTTGGTCACACTCTGAATGCTGAAAGATTCATCTGCTGACTGTATATTTAAGCTGCCTTGCTGTACTTCTTTGTAAAGTGAAAAATGGTCTTTGATAAAGTCGTGTGATGCTATTTCTTCCTGTTGCTATACAACTTTGCAGTAAGCAAACTGGTGACTTGAAGTTAGTTAGTAAAATGAACTGAAGCAGAAATACATCTACTGAGTAGGAAAGAAAGCTGAGTTGCAGAATTGCAGGAAATGGGACAAGGATATTGGGGCACGGCTTGGGATGTGCCCAGGAGCTTCCTATACTTTTCTGTTCATACCTAGTGCCAGCCTTTGTCTCTTCTGAGTCTTAAGTTGAAATTATTTTACTCTGTGTAGCCCAAATCTGCTGGTTTAGGACTCTTTTCTCCTCAAGCCTGTGTTCCAGCATTGTTGGGCTGTAAGGTTTCCATTGTGGCTTTGCAGATGTCCAGGCCGTCGCTTACGAAGAGCCCAAGCACTGGTGCTCCATCGTCTACTACGAGCTGAACAATCGCGTGGGGGAGGCGTTCCACGCGTCCTCCACCAGCATCCTGGTGGATGGCTTCACTGACCCCTCCAACAACAAGAACAGGTTCTGCCTGGGGCTGCTCTCCAACGTCAACCGCAACTCCACCATTGAGAACACCAGGCGGCACATCGGCAAAGGTGAGCTTGGGATCTGGCCATCCATTGGCAAAGGTGAGTTTGGGATTGTCCATCCATTGGCAAAGGTGAGTTTGGGATTGTCCATCCATTGGCAAAGGTGAGNCCATCCATTGGCAAAGGTGAGTTTGGGATTGTCCATCCATTGGCAAAGGTGAGTTTGGGATTGTCCATCCATTGGCAAAGGTGAGCTCGGGATCTGGCCATCCATTGGCAAAGGTGAGTTTGGGATCTGGCCATCCATTGGCAAAGGTGAGTTTGGGATCTGGCCATCCATTCTGGGTGGGGGTGGTGTTTCCCAAGACATGACAACCGGGGCTACTTCCCTCAAGAGTAAACTGCTCTTCCCTAGCATGTGGGAGAGGTATTTGTGAGTTTGGAATCTGGCCATCCATTGGCAAAGGTGAGTTTGGGATCTGGCCATCCATTCTGGGTGGGGGTGGTGTTTCTCAAGACATGACAACTTGGGCCACTTCCCTCGAGAGTAAACTGCTCTTCCCTAGCATGTGGGAGAGGTGCTTGTGTTGGTAAACATATAATTTTCTGGCCTAGTCTTATAAACAAAGTATTGTTCCTACCTGGTTTGTAATTACAGGAAGCTTTCACCCTTAATCAATTTTTATTTGCCTGAAGGCTATTGAAATCTAAATTAGAGGTTAAGGCAGTTTGTCTAATGAAATGTCTTGATTTATCTTGATTATTGCTGTATATGGAAATCCAAATTGTGGTTCTTGGCACCAAATGTTTTAGCTAGCCTTAGTTCTAACATAAATGAGCTATCCTAACATGTATTTTGGGAGATAACCTGCTAAAACAGTTTATTCCAAATGCATTTTTCACAGGCTGGTGATTCTTTCAGTGGGAATTTTGTGCTTCCACTCTGTGTCTGTGTCTCAGCAAAAGAGAAAATCTTCATCTTTATGCCTGACTATTTAATACAGTCCTCTTTTCTGAACTCATCTGTAATGCAAAAGGCAGGCAAAGCCGAGGTTGCCCCCTGCAGTGGGCCATTCCTAAAAGGCACATTTTTTAGGTATTTACATTTTTGGTAAACTGTAAATTTTCTGAGACAGTTGAGGGTTCAGCATGCCTAAGCAGTGGGGTAGATGTGCCAGCTCTTGAAAAGGAGAAAAAAACTGAAGAGAACTGTCAGATCCTAAAGTCTGAGCCCCCAGTCTGGAGAGCTTTTCTCTTCATGGGAACTTGTGCAGCTCTCAGTAGTGCACCACACCTGTGTTGTGCCACTCAAGTGTTAATACTTCTTCCTTCTTTTCCTCCCCATCCATCTTCCCAAGTATCAGGATATTTATTTAACACCTCATTCATTTTTCCTGTTAGGAGCAACCCAGCTGCAGGCAGAGTTCTGCTGAAGCACTTAACTGCGTGTGTACCAAAGCAGAGCGTGGGAGAGACAAGGATGCAGTTCAATAAGTAAAGGTGTACAAGTTATGGTGATGTAGAACTGTTAGTCTTTGAGAAAGGAGGAGTAAATCCCAAACTTGAAGACATAGCCATAAATGTTTTTGCAGATCAGGTGGGAGTATATATCTACCCACACAGTCAGTGGCAAAATCTTACATGACAGAGCACAGTCAAGGCTTTCTTACTGGACTGCAGTCGAGTTTTCTATTCTCCATGTTCACTTCTGTGATTTGTGACATTGTGGGAGGTTTAAGTAGCAAATAAACCATTTTTAAACACAGAAGGTAAATTTTCTTGCTTTCTCAAAACCTTTAGAATTGACTCCTACTGACACAAAGGTTCTCTGTATATTACTTTTTTGGGGCTTTGCTGCTGTGGATGAAAGGTGAAGGAGCAGGCATGAGATGGGGAGAGGACTGTAAAATTGGTGTGTAGCCTCATTTGGCAGATAGGTCTGAGGAATGCAAAGGCCTTTTTTTTCCCACCTAGCTTTCTGGAATTAAAGCTAGCTGACAAAACTGAGGCTACCCAAATTACCCAAGACTTTTCCAGAGAATCGAGCTTGGGGCTTCTTCAGTATCTACAAATGATGCACCAGGTTTCTGCTCTCTCTGCTTGCATTCCCAATTACTGCTTCACTTAAATATAACGAGAAAAAGTTCAAGTGGTCAGATTGTCCAATGGAAGGCATCAAAACTCCTGTGCTTGCTAGTTTGGTGTTGTTGAATATACAACATGTTGATTCCCCATACATACATACATACATACATACATACATATATACATACATGCATACATACTCTTCTTTCAGATTGCCCGCTGATGAAAGAGAAAAGTAGAAATGAAGACAGATGATACTCTGATATGTAATTAAGGTTTATCTCTTTGAACAGAAGCCTATCTCTGTGGAGACAGAGCATGAAAGCAGACACAGAGTGTGAATTTGCCACCTTCTCCTCGCAGGTGTCCATCTGTACTACGTTGGAGGGGAGGTGTACGCTGAGTGTTTGAGCGACAGCAGCATCTTCGTGCAAAGCCGGAACTGCAACTACCACCACGGCTTCCACCCCACCACGGTCTGCAAAATCCCCAGTGGCTGCAGTCTGAAGATTTTCAATAATCAAGAGTTTGCTCAGCTCCTGGCTCAGTCTGTGAACCATGGCTTTGAGACAGTGTACGAGCTTACTAAGATGTGCACTCTCCGGATGAGTTTCGTAAAGGTATGTGGGCAATTTGCTTGAGATTATTTTGTAAGCAAAGTAATTTTTTTTTTTTAATGCAGTAATTTTAAATGGTCCAGTAAGTTCCTTCATCAGCCTACTAATGGCTGTTAATTTTAAGGATGGAATTGCTCATTAAGTCTAACAGATCTTAGTGAAATTAAGCATTTGTGGAGAGAAAACCATCTGACCCGCATACTTGGAAAGCTTGAGGTGACTTACAGAAGATGTTTCTTCATGTAAGTCCTCTATATCTTGACCAGCAACTCCCAAATTAGGAGCTGCAGTCATTATTTAGAATAATATGCATAGCCTTCTATTCTAGAAAGGCATGCAAGGTCAGGATTTGTGATGTGGCTGTTGTGTGTGTCAGCATAGGTACTGATATGAAAGGGCTGGTCCTTAAATGAAAGTAATCAAATGAAGATAGTGATATGCTGCAGTCTTCTCCATGATGGGAGGATGAGAGCTTTCAGATGTGTTAAGACAGGGGTTCCTAAAATGAAATAGGCTGTTTACAGCTCTGCATCCTACAGCCGAAACAGTCAAACAGGACCTCTTGTGTATTGGAAGTTGCACTGCACAGTGTTCAGAGCTGCTGCCAGCTGTGCTGGGAGCTGGGAAATTCCTTCGTTAGTGAGTAAACTAATACAGAGCAGAGCAAACTGTACCTGCAGATGTCATCGTCTTCTCTTCAGACCTGCCCCAAAAATGGTTCACTTACAAAATACAAATTTTGAATGCTTTTAAATATCTCTTCATATCTTTGGTAATTACTGTAACAGAATCAGGTATGAGTTGAAACAAAACCTGTCTTAAGTAGAGAAACTGATGGGGGATGGCCATGCCCTCTTTCTCCAAGGAGGAATGCTTCTGACTTATTGCTGTGTTTATCATCCCCATCCTAAGAATGATACTTTGGTTCTTGTCAGACAGATGTCTCACCCTTATTTCCACATCAGTCTTATCACTTCATCTTTTAATTTTTTGATCTGTTCGGCAGCATTTCCACCCAATTTGTTCCATTTTCAGTCTTGGCAGAGAAGATTTGAGTATCCCTCTCTTCAGAGGCTTTTTAGGGACCTCAGGCAGCTGGCACTGATGTATGGGGAAGTTTTGCACTGCTACAGTTATGTCTTTAAAAATTTCCATTCCAAGAGAGCTGAAATGATACTTTTCACATTTATAATTTTTTTAGCTTCTGATTTGTTTGTTGAAAAGTGATAATAGTTGGTGGGTGCTATGGGTGCTGTGCCACCCTGCTGATAATGACTGTTGAAAGCTATTTTGGTAGGAAGTACACTTTTCATGTATTTAGTATTATAATATAAAGTGATTTGTTTTTTCTTTCCCCACTTATGATTCTATTTCCAGGGCTGGGGAGCTGAATATCATCGCCAGGATGTAACGAGCACTCCATGCTGGATAGAGATACATCTCCATGGTCCCCTTCAGTGGCTGGATAAAGTACTTACTCAGATGGGCTCTCCTCATAATCCTATTTCTTCAGTGTCTTAAAAGGTCCCAAGCTCCTGCATTACGGAAACAGTTGAGCCTTGCATGTACTTGAAAGATGTATGAGTCAGACACACATTTTTATTTTTTTTCCCCCCTCAGCTGGCAACAGCTGAAAAAGAGCCATGAAAACACTTGACTTCTGTGACCAACTGCTGGGTTCAGAAAACAAAGATAAATAAACCCCTTTGACATACTGTTGGTATAAAGAATTTTAGTTTACATTGTAATGTACTGTTGTGGAGTTGATTTACAGGGCTTAGTACAAGAGGGACAACAGAGCCAAAGCCAAACTCAGTGTGCTGGACAGAGTTCCCGAAGGATTTTCCGGCAGCCGTCACTCTTAAGGTTCTCCTTCCTTACATTCAGCACTCACTGGTTCCCCCCACGTCCTCTGGAGCTGAGAGTGGATGTTGGCCAAGTCTGCTTCTTGCAGCCTCTCTTCAGTACTTCTTGGAAACACTACACTGATGGCTGCTGTTCTCTTTCAAAGTAAAAGCAAGCATAAGGTTTAATCTCAATAACTGTGTGCTATCTCTGAAATTGTGTCCTGACCATACTGCTGTAAGAATGTTAGGTATGTTCTTTTGCTAAATGTATGTACGGTGTATTTGAAAGTTTAGAAATTAATTAGATTTAGACCATAAAGGAATTAGGAATATTTGAATGGGGGGAGGTGGGAGTGGGAGGGGAAAATGACAGCTGAAATGTAGAATATATTGTAAACATAGCGTGTTAGTTTAAACTGAGGTCTGAATTTTGTTGTGCATTTTGTTTTCATAGTGGCTTTATCTTGTTAGTTCTGACTATTTTTGCCTCTTCCTTTTCCCCCAAAGCAATTGTGCAGCTTCTTTTACCCATGAAGAGGACAAAATTGTTAATTACTGCAGTTTTGAAGGCTGTAGCTCTATGTATTTCAAGACAAATTTGTACAGAGTGCTCTTTAACTATTGAGCAGTTTTATACAGTTTATGTAACAAAAGTAGGCTTTTAATTTTGTGAGAGAATCTTGTTTTGCCAAACCTAGTAACTGTTAATTGTCTGGAGGAGTTCAGTATCCCTGTGGGGGTCTATTTCAAACTTTAAAATATATATATATATATATATATATTTTTAATTTTTTTTTTCTGCTTGATTTATTTTCTTCTCTTTGCTCTTTTATATTCATGTAAGCTGTAGTACTTTCAAGTACTTTTTTTCCAAAACTAGTGGGTCCTCTTTACTGGAAATTTTGAATAAAACCTGTTGTTACTGCTTACATTTGATTAAAACCTTGTCTTGTCCACTTCTTAGCAGACTCTTAACAAGCCAGATAAAGGTGTGGTCTTGGAGGAGGAACAACTAGAAATGAAGATGTGCTGAGCTTAGATGTAATGATTAGTACAGGTTAGTAGTGCCGCTAAACTCAGGAGCAAGGGGAGGCTGAGCAGCAGAGCTCAGTGTGTGTTCAGCCAGACACAGAATGCATCTGTCTGTCTCTGTAATGACTAACTGAGTGGTAGCCCTTTTTGGAATATGAGTCAATGCCACCTTTTTCTCCTCTTTTTTCCTTTTTTCTTTTTTTGGTGGTTTTGTTAAAGTTAATTCCACAGCTTGGCTCAGTATATACATTTTTTAAAATTAAAAAAGTTCTCTCCTTGCTCAGGGGAAAAAATCCATAATGTACAAGTTCCCTATTGAGAGGAACCTGCTGCTTTTACATTCCAGGAAAATAACAGGTTTTTTGGTTTCTTTTCAGATTCAGTTTGACATATCTTTTTCATAAAGAAGTGGTCATAGCACAAATGTAAGCCTTAAAAATAAATAAAATGTAGAGATGACCAAAAAGTGGAAGAATGCTGTTTGCTGCTCAGGCACTGCCTTTGTTTTTGATATCTTCAGCCCCTGCTACATAAACTCCCAGCTGTTCCCAACAGTTTCATTGCTTTTTATGGAATGCAGCTGTGAGGTACTGACTTCTTTTTTAATTAGTGCTGTAACCATCCATCATGCAGGTCTTAAGGAGTGTTTCTACTTGGATGTTTTCCTATTTGGATGATCCTGTGCAAGTTTCGATAAACTTTGAAAAAGCGTTGGAGTAAGAAAAGACAGTTTTATGTTGTGACTGCTTTGAATGTTGCTGTCTTTTATGCTTTGGGCTGTAATGACTCTCTGTTTTCCCTAAATAGGGATTGAAATTAGAAAATAGTAGCTCTGCAGTGCTTCAGAAACTTTCAGCAGTAATCTGAATTAAGTGGGACATGCAGGATCCCAGTTTTTCTGAGTTCTTTCTGTTGTCAGTTTTTCTATAACACTGTTGAAGAGCTGGGTACATAATATTTTCATTATCTGTTCTTCAGCTTTTTGCTTGTGGTGTGGAGATACTAGGTGCAAGGAAAGTGTACCTTCATATGAGGGCACAGAATGTGTCAGCTGCACTTCATTAAATGAGATGAGTGGATTGGAGTAGCACCTGAGACTCTCAGGTGCTTTTGTCTGGGTTAATTTCTTTTCACAGTACTGGTATGGGGCTGGTTTGGATTTGTGCTGGAGACAGTGTTGATAACACAGGGATGTTTTCCTTACTGCTGAGCGGGGTTTGCACAGATCCAAGGCTTTTTCTGCCTCCCACCCCACCTGTGAAGAGACTGGGGGTGCACAAGGAGTTGGGAGGGGACACAGCAGGGGCAGCCAACCCCAGCTGACCCAACATACATCCTGTCACATATGGAGTCATGCTCAGCATGTAAAATGGGAAGAAGGAAGGAAGAAAGGAGGGTGTTTGGAGTGATGGAGTTGTCTTCCCACATTACAGTTATGTGTGATGGTGCCTGGATTTCCTGGAGATGGCTGAACACCTGCCTGCTCATGGGAAGTGGTGAATGAATTCCTTGTTTTGCTTTGCTTATTAAATTGTCTTTATCTCAACCCACAAGTGTTTCTTACTTTCACCCTTTCAATTTTCTCCTCCATCCCACCTGGGGTGAGTGAAGGAGCAGCAAGTGAGTGGTGATTAGTTACCAGCTGGGGCTAAAGCACAACAGACTAACAGCCAGAAACACAGGAGGTAGGACAGAACTCACCTGGGAAGAAGCAACTGCTGGCTTCAGGCTGCTGTGAAAACTTTTGGATCATTTTGAAGAAGTCTTCCTTCTGATTTGCCCTGCTTTGGATAGTTGGAGTCAGAAAGCTTTTAAAGACAAATGACAAGAATGAAAGGAAAAAGAGTTTCTTGCTGACCTCTCACAAAACAGAGAACACTGAGAACTAAAAACGCGGACAGAGCCTACAGTGTCAGCTCTGTAACCAGGTAAGTTCCTGTTGCTTATTTGGTTTTATTTCCTCATAGTTTTCTCCATTTAATCTCCTGAACAAGAGTTAAACACAGGAGATGCTACTTAAAAGCCAAGACAAGTCTCTGTTAGGAGAAACTGAAAAGACAGGGATATCTGTATTGAGGAAAAGCACTATACATGGACACAAATAATTCCATGGAGCTGAATGTGTTTTGAAATCTCTGCTTCGGCTTTTGAGTGCTGGAAATCAAATAGAATGGAGATGACTTTTTAATCATTTAGGAGGATCTGGTGAACTCTTAAAAGATTTGTTGAAGGCTAAGAGAAGTAGTCATGCTTACCTGTATGGGTTTAGGAAGGTATGGAAAAAATAATTCATGTTTTATCATATCCTGTATCATATTTATGGGCCTGATCTTTTAATGCTTGCTAACCTGGTATTGCTGTCAACTTTGCTAAAGTCATTTGCTGCTAAATCACTGCTCTTGCTACTGTAGCTATTGTCCTTTATTGTCTTAAGACAAGTATAGCTGTCTTTTTTAGCCTCTAAGCAATGCAGGTGTGAGTATCATTATTTGAAGAGAACAAATCAGTGTAGAGGTGTCAGAAATTGATATGGATCTTTCTTGCTGTGCCTACCTCCCTGACTTTTCCTTTGCCTTGTCCCACTCTAAGGTGGGACAAGGTGTCTTTGATGGACACTTTGGAAGTTAGCTGTGTTTTGGTGCTCTCTTTAGTAATTGCTGCTGGTTTGTTCTGTGAAACACACTGTAGCCTCGTAGTGTGCTCCTGAGATTTGTGATTCATGGCCATGAACTGGCAGTCACCTTTTTCTGGATGCTTGCCTAGATATACAACATAACTCCACCATCACCAGCAGTGGTGGAGCAGTACATTTTTACATGCATCATCTCACAGTTCATTTTCTTCAATACATTTGTGATTCTGTGCAGGAGGGAAGGGAAAATGGCTCATATTTTCCTCTGGCCCTCTCTGTCCTTGACTTAACTCCGTGAAGAGAGACACCCTTGCCATGTCCTTCAGGGGATGTTCTCTCCTCTCTGCTCCTTCAGCACCCCTCACTGACTTCTATATTCTTGATAACTTTCCTTGTTTTTTTGAAATCTGCAAATTGCTTTTTGTCATCCCCAGGAGGTGCTGCCCCTGTGCCACTGTGGGTCATGTGTCTGTGTGTCTTCATGTGCTGGGAGCTGCTGAGGCAGGGGGCTCTGGTTCCCCACTTCTGTTCAGTTTAATTGAGGTGTGTGGCAGGTGGCTCCTGTTTCATTCACCCCATGTGCAGTCCCTTCAGCGGGGAGGGCTGTGTCCCCTGGGCTGTGTGGTGAGCTGTTTTCATGAGGCAGGTGTGATGGAGAGGCAGCCTCCTGATCAAAGCCTGCTGCAAACACAGAAGTGGCTCCAGTAACATTGACAGTGCTTACATCCACTGGGCTTGATGTGGTTAAGAGCTGAGTGGGTCTGCTGCAGTGAATGGACAAGATGGGTACAGTTTTTGTGCAGGTCTGATGAATGCCTTGCAGTTAAAAATGATCCTCAGAGTATGCTGTTAATTGATCTTGTGCAACTGAAGTAATCAAAATCAAACAAACCCCCAAATTTTACAAACAGTCCAGAAGTCTGGAATTTGATTCAATAATCTTTAAGGAATGTTAAGATTTTTTTATTCTAATGGGTGCAGATTGATCATATTTTTTAAGACTTGGCTTGTAATTTCCCCTTTTTATCGTGCCGCTAAGACATAAATTGAATGTTGTGTATGTTCTCTTCATGATCCTGCCAGATCATCTGAGACTCTAAATATTTAAAGCTCAGAGGAGGCTGCTGTAGTTTAATTTTGAAGAAGTAAACACTGTCACTTGCTCCAGATTGTAGACGGGAGTTAAGATATCTCATAGCAGTGATAAAGACCTATGACTTACAGTTCTGTACTACAGTAAATAGAAAATGAGCAATAGTTATATTATAGGCTTGCTTTGCTCAGAGTTTTCTTTATGTGGAGTGGTCACTTGCTGAGATGTGCTGGGAGAGCACAGTTTGCTTTTGTAAAACAGATTCTGATTTTCCTGTTGCAGCTTTCCCCAATGTCCCTGTAACATGTAAAAACATTCTTTTCTATAAAGAAAAATGGTGTGCATAACTTTGCCTTCCCCTTTCTCCTAATATAACTTTGAACTTCTCGGTCTGCTGTTCCTTTAGATTACTGAGCAGAGATTAGAAAAAGCAGGAGAATGAGACTGGATGTGTGCAGTGCTGCAATAACACTTTACTATTTTACTATTTTTTTGAAGCACTTGGTTCTTGGCAGGAGAGCAGGGTCTGTCTCATCTTTGAGCCCTTCACTGCTGCCTTCTGTTGATACTTTAGGGATTGGTAATCCTGAGTGTTTTCAGATACACATGTGGAGACTGAAAGATGGCTGCTGTCCCATCAGATATTTCTCCAAGTTTGTGGACCAGTCTCCTCAAGTCAAAATCACCATAGGCCATAGTGTTGGCAACAGCGCTATTTAGAAACTGGATCCAAGCATGGCTTCATTGTGAACATGATTCAGCCAATGGTTTGACTACAAACACTTTTCAAACCTCTCAAACACACCTTGACCCCTCTGTGTGCTGAATTTGGGCCATGCTGTTTTCTCAAGCAGCACAGAAAGAAGCTACCTTGATCTGCATGCACTAGAGACTCAAAACTTCAAGAACTGGGTTTTTATCTTGTGCTAAGAGAGCAGTTCTGTAAATAGTCTTTCATGGGGTAGCTTTTAATTGCAGTGTGGGGTTTCTTTGTACCCTTACTGCAAATGATTGATATGGCTCTAATTCAGAATACACTCTGGGCACTGGGGCCATTCCATTTTCTGACCCACTGTGTTGCTCTTGGTTTTTCAGGAATTACATCATTGCCTCAGGTGTCCCTGTGATTTCCCCAGGTCACAGAAGCAAGTTTGAACAGATAAAGTGGTAGATCTTTGGTTGAATTTGGTCTTACACTGATAGAAAGCAGCTTACAATCAAAATATTAAACCATTGAACGCTCTAGAAATTGACCATTTTCAAAAAGGAAAGCACTGGGATGTCTTAATGTTGGCAAGGGCACGTACAGCAGTCTGATCTGTCACCTCAAGGTGGGAGCCTCAAGTTTGGGGACCCTGATTTGGCAGTGTGTACTTTGAGTGAGGGGCCATCCATTCCCTCACAGGATCTGTTGGCACCATTGAGCCCCAGATGAATCCATACTGTGCATAATCCCCAGAAGCATTGGAAAAAGATCCACGTGTGTACAGTGGTAAGGGAAGGTTCACAGCCAGGTTTTCTAACCATCACCTGAGGAAGTACAGGAACTGCCCAATTCTGTGCCAGCAGCAGTGGGTGGGTGACAGGGGTGTGGCAGTGGCACTACAGGGAACAATCCCAAGCATGGTCAGACCTGGAACTTTGCAGCTGAGTGAATATGGAGGTTGGTCTTGAATGTGAGCATTTTGTTGGATAAAATGGGGGAAAGGATCCTGACCACATTATGAGTGTTCTTGTTGTATTTGGTGTTTATTTCACTGTTGTTTCAGAATTGTCTGGGTGCTCTTGCACTGTTGTTCCTTTGATAGTAAGGTGGATAAAATAATACGAAGAATATGTGGGCTTTCCTCTTTTTTGTCCGTATTCTGGTCACCCCTTGTGTTTTGTAAAACATTACTGTGTCTCCTTGTGTTGAGAATTACCATGGCCTGACACAGGTGGGGTATACAAGAAGCCCAGTCAAAATTAATTCTCTACAACTGTATCTGAAATGCCTGAAAAATGTGACATTGCCCATCACATAGACAGGAAACAGCCCTTGTAAGGGACTGAGTGTAGCTGAAAGCCTAAGCCAAGTAACATCTCCATCTGGGAACCTTTCAGTGCCACACAAGTTTGGAAAACGTGGTTGTGACTGGCTTCCACATGTGGGATGAATGGCGGGTACCAGATGTTGCCTTACACATCCAACTCTTTTTCTCTAAATTCCATCTGAAACACAAATGTTCTATCTGCAGCACTTGTGGGTGAAAGCCTGCACATGTGAAGGTTTTGGTGTTTGCACAGGAACAGGGCTGGACCTGCACCACTGGAAGCAGGGTCAAGGTTTCTCTGGTCATCAGAAGTTTCTGATGACAGTAAGCAGTAAAAACCTGAGAGGTAGCAAATTAAATATGCAGTTGTCAGAGGTGGAATACAGTGTACTTCTAAGGGCTGGCTAGTATGTCTGTGAAAGCTGCCCTCATTTCCTCCAAAAGAACATCATGGAATGTAACAATAGACTGATGATATCCTCCTAGGGCATGTGTAAAAATTAGGCACTCTTAATTTCCATCTTTTCAAATTTATGGGCTATGGATTATATCCTGTGTCTGGTTTTAGTTTCCCAAATGCAGAAGCTCCTTGTGAAGTTTCTACCTCTCAGTACTTGTGCCTGCTCCCTCTTTCCACAACCTTTCTTCCTCCATACTTACAGAAGTTTCGAGAGCACAGTAAAAGGGCTGGTTACTGAAAAATAGAGTATGACTTCATGTGATACTATGAGAAGATACTTAGTGTACACCTGGAAAAACAAGCAGTTGTGTGGGGGTATTTTCATTTCTGTTGCTGGGCATTCTTCAAGTATCCTGTTTATTTTTCGTGGATTTTTTAGAAATGTAACTTCCACACTACAAGTCTGAGATGGTTAACCTGGTATTGCAGGTTTGTTACTCAAGTACAAATTATAGAATTGTAAATAATTGGAATATCCCTTTTGTAGAGAAGGCACATCCTGTAAGATAATATTCCTACTTTTAAGGAATAGTTTTGGTTGGGTTTTTGTGTTTTGTTTTTCTGGAAAGCTGGATGAAAACAGGTGAGAAATTTAAGTCCTCATACCTACAGAGGGGGAGTACACTTTCTTCCCTTCTACCTCCCTGAAATGAATTATTCTTCTGTAGTTTTATGGGAGGAAAGGGAAAAATCTGGAGGGACTTGCTCCA